TCCTGCCTTAGCCTCCCGAGCGGCTGAAATGACAGGCCTGCACCACTACGCCTGGCTAATTTGTTTGTATTTTTAGTAGAGATGGGGCTTCACCATGTTGTCCAGGCTAGTCTTAAACTCCTACCTCAGGTAATCTGCCTGCTTCAGCCCCCCAAAATGTTGGGATTACAGGCGTGAGCCACTGCATCCAGCTGGAAGTTCTTTCCTTTAAATATCTACATGGCTCACCCCCTCACCACCTTCAAGTCGACACAGCGGTCACCTCTCAATGAGACTTATCCTGACCACCCTTTAAAATCTGGCAACCTCCAGCACTCCTATTCCCGTTTCTTGTGTATTTTTCTGTCAATTACTTATCACCATGCAACTTACTACACATTTTTCTTGTGTCTTTCCTCTTTGTTTCCTCTCTTTTAGAATTTAAGCTCCCCCGGGGCAAAAATGTCAGTCCGTTTGTTCACGGTTGCATCTCCAGGTGCCCAAAGTTCATTTAAATGATAAATTAATTTATAGAGGGAACTAATGAAAGCCTTCCCTGGGCTTAATTTTACCAGATACCAACCTGTTTCACCTTTAAGCCCATAGCCTTTTTGTACTTGATTACCAAAGGAATTTCGTCAATTTCTTCAATATTCCACAGTCTCATGGTCGTATCCTAAAACAAATAGCAAACCAATGGTCACAAAACAGGCTGTGGTACATCCATACAAAGGAATATCATTCAACAATCAAAAGACATGGGCTGTCGAGGCACAAAAAGACAGAGGAGCCTTCAATGCACATTGTTAAGCCATAGAAGCCAACCTGAAGAGGCTACAGAGTATAATTCCAACCACATGACATTCTGGAAAAGGCAAAACTAAAGTAAATAGATCAGTGGTTGCCCAGGATTATGGGAAAGAGGAGGAGGGATGAATAGTAAAACTATTCTGTGTGGCCAGGCGCGGTGGCTCATGCTTGTAATCCCAGCACTTTGAGAGGCCAAGGTGGGTGAGGTAGAAGTTCAAGACCAGCCTGACCAATAATGGTGAAACCCCATCTCTACTAAAAATACAAAAATAGCTGGGTATGGTGGCGTACACCTGTAGTCCCAGCTACTTGGGAGGCCAAGACAGGAGAATTGCTTGAACCCAGGAAGCAGAGGTTGCAGTGAGACAAGATCGTACCACTGCACTCAAGCCTGGGCGATAGAGCGAGACTCTGTCTCAAAAAAAAAAAACCAAAAACTATTCTGTATGACACTGTATTGGTGGATATATGATATACATTTGGCAAAACCCGTAGAACTATACAACACAAAGCATGAAACAATGTAAACCATGGACTTTAGTTAATAAATAATAGTTCCCAAAAGGAATGCAGTCCTGTTGATACCTGGATTTTAGCCCAGCGAGAGCTTGTCAGACTTCTGTCTTACAGAACTGTAAGATATTAAATTTGTGTTGTTTAATGTTTAAACAGTACAGTCTGGTAACTTATTATTATAGCAGCAATAAAAAAACGGATACACTGAGTATGTTACATTTCTTGATTCAGCAGTTGCAACTAAATGTCCTATGGGAAAACAAAGGGGACATTTTTGTAATAGATGTGTTGGCTTTTTTTTGGTAATAGATGTGTTGGCTTCATGCTGAGTACAGCGGTCAGATCTTACCAATAAGCATACTTCCTACAGTATAGCAAGTGATTTGCCAAATCGTGGCAACAAAAAATGTCCTCCTTGCTCTTAGCTACTTTAATTTGAAAGTTAGTTTCAAGCTGGGCATGGTGGCTCACACCTGTAATCCCAGCACTTTGAGAGGCAGATGCGGGAGGATGGCTTCAGCCCAAGAATTCAAGACCAGCCTGGGCAATATAGCGAGACCTTGTGTCTGCAGAATAAAAAAAAAATTTTTTTGTTAGGCTGGGCATGGTGGCTCACACCTGCAATCCCAGCACTTTTGGAGGCCAAGGCATGCGGATCACCTGAGGTCAGGAGTTTGAGACTAGCCTGGCCAACATGGCGAAACCCTGTCTTTACTAAAAATACAAAAATGAGCCAGGTGTGGTGCTGCATGCCCATAATCCCAGCTACTCAGGAGGCTGAGGCAAGAGAATCGCTTGAACCTGGAAGGCAGAGGTTGCAGTAAGCCGAGATTGCACCATTGCACTCCAGCCTGGGTGACAGAGCAAGACTCTGTCCTAAAAAAAATAATAATAATAATTTTTTTAATTAGCTGGGTGTGGTGGTGCGCACCTGTAGTCGCAGCTACTCGGAAGGCTGAGGCAAGAGGATTACCTGAGCCCAGGAGTTTGAAGCTGCAGTGAGCTATGATCGCGCCACTGCACTCCAGCCTGAGTGACATGGTGAGACCCTGTCTCTAAAAAAATTAAGTTGGAGTTTTTAATCTTCTGGATTTCTATGAAGATTTTAATAAAACTGCAGAAAACCAAAGCATGTTGGTCCTCATCTAAATGCAAACTAGACTTTGCTCGTCTATCTCCGTATTCAGCAGACAGTGCCGTTGTAAATTTTGGCAAATTCCATTCCTTCTGTAAATTTCTTACCGAAGCAAATGCAATGCCAAATGGCCTGCACACTTTGTACACAAAACTCCTAAAAAGGGAGTGTGGTTTTCTTACCTATAATGTTGGGTCTTTCATAATAAAAGTTTGGGGCCACTTTTCACCTTCCTCAAAATGTACAGAAGCACTTAATGAGATTTTTTTTTTCTTTCTATAAGACAAGGTTTTATTTTGTCACCCAGGCTGGAGTGCAGTGGTGTGCTCTCAGCTCACTACAACCTCCGCCTCCCAGGCTCCAGTGATTCTCCTGCCTTGGCCTCCTGAATAGCTGGGACTACAGGCACACACCACTATATCCCACTAATTTTTTGTATTTTTAGTAGAGACGGGATTTTGGCATGTTACCCAGGCTGGTCTCAAACTCCTGGGCTCAGGCAATCTGTCCACCTCAGCCTCCCAAATTGCTGGCATTACAGGCATGAAACAACATGCCCAGCCAAGATTTTCAATTAGCGAAATGGAGATACCTTCCTTAAACATGTGCCTACAAGATGGCTATTATCATTTCTGAGCATAGAAAAGATGTTAAAATGGGCCGGGCACAGTGGCTCATGCCTGTAATCCCAGCACATTGGGAGGCCAAGGCGGGTGAATCACTTGAGGCCAGGAGTTTGAGATCAGCCTGGAGAACAAGGCCAAACCCCGTCTCCACTAAAAATACAAAAAATTAGCCAGGCATGGTGGCAGGCACCTGTAATCCCAGCTACTGGGGAGGCTAAGGAAGGAGGATTGCCTGAGCCTGGGAGACTGAGGCTGCAGTGAGCTGAGATTGTGCCACTGCACTCCAGTCTGGGCAACATAGCAAGACCCTGTCTCTTTAAAACATAAATAAATGGGCCAGACGCAGTGGCTCGCGCCTGTAATGCCAGCATTTTGGGGAGGCCGAGGTGGGTAGATCACCAGAGGACAGGAGTTCGAGACCAGCCTGACCAACATGGAGAAACCCCATCTCTACTAAAAATACAAAATCAGCCAGGTGTGGTGGCGCATGCCTGTGATCCCAGCTACTCAGGAGGCTGAGGCAGGAGAATCGCTTGAACCCAGGAGGCAGAGGTTGCGGTGAGCCAAGATTGCACCATTGCACTCCAGCCTGGGCAACAAGAGCGAAACTCAGTCTCAAAAATAAAATAAATAAATAAATAATGCACATTTTAGATAGATATAGCCTATACCATGAGTTTATAGTGCAAAGGACTTCACTGACAAATACCTGGTCTTTTAAAGCAAGCTTATAGATTTAGTACATTGAACATTTTTGGAGTGCTGGGAAATAAAGCCTGCAAATCAAAGAACCTGTTGTTGCCAGTAAGTAAAATCTTTTTTTTTTTTTTTGAGACTGGGTCTCACTCTGTCACCCAGGCTAGAGTGCCATGACTTGGTCTTGGCTCACTGCAACCTCCCCTTCCCGAGTTCAAGCGATTCTCCTGCCTCAGCCTCCCAAGTAGCTGGGACTACAGTCACGCGCCACCAAGCCTGGCTAATTTTTGTATTTTTAGTACAGACGGGGTTTCACCATGTTGGCTAGGCTGGTCTCGAACTCCTGACCCCAGGTGATCCACCTGCCTCGGCCTCCCAAAGCGCTGAGATTATAGGCGTGAGCCACCATCCCCAGCCAGTAAGTGAAATGTTAAGTATCCATGCTCAAATGATTTTGCTGAGGGGATATTTAGCTTGAAGTTATCACATTGGGCTGACACCAGGAATCAGTATAATGTGGGCTTGATAAGAACAGAGCTGCGAATCAAAGCGAGTTTTACATTTGACAGTGTTCAGTTTTACCGCTACAGAAACTAAAAGGATGTCCTGAAGGTTGCAAGCAGTTCAGAGAAGTATTATTTGCCATGGAAACAGAAAAGCAAAGATATCCTACTGTATTAAGGGACAGAAATAAATATGTCATTGTTGGTTTTTTTTAACTTGTGATAAAATATATACAACATAATATCATTTTAACAATTTGTAAGTATACAATTAAGTCACATTAAATACTTTCACAATCTTCTGTCACCATAACCACTCTCTATACCCAAAACTTTTTCATCATCCCCAACAAAAACTCCATTACCCATTAAATAATTACTTTCTCCCCACCCTCCAGCCTCTGGCAACCACCATTTTACCTTCTGTCTCTGAATTTGGCTATGCTGGATTCCTCGTCTAAGAAGAATCATTACCATATTTGCCCTTTTGTGACTGACTTATTTCACTTAGCATGTCATCAAGATTCATCCATGATTCATCCATGTCAGAATTTCCCCCTTTTTATGGCTGAATTCCCTTGTATGGATAGACCACACTTTATGTATCCATTCATCCAACACCTAGGTCGCTTCTACCTTTTAGCTATTATAAATAATGCTACTGTGAACATTGGCATATAAGTATCAGTAAGGCCCTGCCTTCAGTTCTTTTGAATATAAACCCAAAAGTGGGCAGGGCATAGTGGCTCACACCTATAATCCCAGCACTTTGGGAGGCCGAGGCGGGTGGATCACCTGAGGTCAGGAGTTCGAAACCAGCCTGGCTAACATGGCGAAACCCTGTCTCTACTAAAAACCCAAAAATTAGCTGGGCATAGTGGCACGCACCTGTAATCCCAGCTACTCAGGAGGCTGAGGCAGGTGAATCACTTGAACCCAGGAGGCGTAGGTTGCAGTAAGTGGACATCACGCCATTGCACTCTAGCCTGGGTGATAAGAGTGAAACTCCGTCTCAAACAAACAAACAAACCAACAAAACACCCAAAAGTGGAGTTGCTGGATCATATGGTAGTTCCGTTTAAGCTTTTGTGGAACTGCCAAACCATTTCCCACAGCAGCTGCACTATTTTACATTCCCATCAGTCATGCACAAGCGTTCCAGTTGCTCCGCATCCTTTGCCAACATTCATTATTTTCTGAGTTTTTTTTTTATTATAGACCTCCTGGTAGATGTGAAGTGGTACCTTACAGTGCTTTTGATGTGCATTTCCCTAATGACTAATGATGTTGAGCATCTTGTCATATGCTTCTTGGCCATTTGTATATCTTCTTTGGAGAAATGTCTATTCGAGTCTTTTGCCCATCCTTGAATTGGGTTGTTTTTTGTTGTTGAGTTTTCAGAGTTCTTTATGTATTCTGCATATTAATCCCTTATCAGATACATGATGTGCAACTATATTCTCCCATTCTCTAAGCTGTCTTTTCGCTTTCTTGATATTATCCTTTGATGCACAAAAGTTCTTAATTTTGACGAAGGTTAGGTTGTCTATTTTTGCTCTCATTGCCTATACTTTTGTTGTCATATCCATGAAATCACTGCCAAATTCAATATCATGAAGATTTTCTCTACTGTTTTCTTCTGAGGGTTTTACAGTTTAGCTCTCAAGTTAAGGTGTTTGATCCTGAGTTAATTTTTCTATACAGTATTAGGTAAGGGTGCAGTTTCATCCTTTGCATGTAAATTTCCAATTTTCCCAGAAGCATTTGTTGAAAAGACTGTCCCTTCTCCATTGAATGGTCTCACCACCCTTGTCAAAAATCCCTTATTTCTGGGCTTTCTATTCTAAGCCATCAGTCTATATGTCTGTCCCTATGCCAGAACCACACTGTTTTAATTACTATAGACTTGTAGTAACTTCAAAGTCAGGAAGTGTGAGTCCTCCAATTTTCTTCTTCTCCTTCTCCCTCTTATTCTTCTCCTTCCCCTTCTCCTTCTCCTTCTTCAGGATTGTTTTGGCTGTTTGGGGCCCCTTGCAATTTCATATGAAAATGCTGTTGGAATTTTGATAGGGATTATGCAGAATCTGTAGATTACTTTGAGTAGTACTGACATCTTAATGATGAGTCTTCCTGTCCATGAATATAGGATGTCTTTCCATTCATTCAGGTCTTCTTTAATTTCTTTAAGCAATACTTTATAGTATTCATTGTGCCAGTCTTTCACTACCTTTGTTAGATTTATTCGTAAGCATTGTTTTAGATGCCATTGTAAATGGAATTGCTTTTTCTTTTCAGATTGTTCATTGCTGGTGTATAGAAACACAACTGCTTTTTTTGTGTTGATTTTGTACCCTGAAACTTTGTTGAATTCATTTATTAGCTTTAGTAGCTTTCGTGTGAATTCTTTGGGATTTTCTATATTTATGATCATGCCACCTACGAATAGAAATAATTTTGGGGCCAGGCATGGTTGCTCATGCCTGTAATCCCAGCACTTTGGGAGGCAGAGGCAGGCAGATCATGGGGTCAGGAGTTCAAGGCCAGCCTTGCCAACATGGTGAAACCCCGTCTCTATTAAAAATGCAAAAAATTAGCTGGGCCATAAGCTGGCACATGCCTGTAATCCCAGGCTACTCAGGAGGCTGAGGCAGGGAGAATTGCTTGAACCCAGAAGATGGAGTTGCAATGAGCCGAGATCATGCCCACTGCACGCCAGCCTAGGGACAGAGCAAGACCCTCATCTCCCAAAAAAAAAAAAAAAAAAGAAATCATTTTGACGCGGCATAGTGGCTCACACCTGTAATCCCAGCCACTTTGAGAGGGCCAAGGCCGGCAGATCACTTGAAGTCAGGAGTTCAAGGCCAGCCTGGACAACATGGTGAAATCGCCGTTTTCTACAGAAGAATTGCCTGAATCCAGGAGATGGAGGTTGCAGTGAGCTGAGATGATGTGCCACTGCACTCTAGCCTGGATGACAGAATGAGACCTGGAAGAAAGAAGAAGAAGGAAGGAAAGAAGGAAGGAAGCGAAGGAAGGAAGGAAGGAAGGAAGGAAGGAAGGAAGAGAGAGAGAGAGAGAGAGAAGAAAAGAGGAGGGGAGGGGAGGAGAGGGGAGGGGAGGGGAGAGGAGAGGAGAGAAGAGGAGAGGAGGAAGACAGGAAGGAGAGGCAGGCAGGCAAGTTGGGAGGGAGGGAACGAAGGGAAGGAAGAGAATTTTACCTCTTCCTTTTCAATTTGGATGCCTTTTATTTATTTTTTTCTTGTCTAATAGCTCTGGCTAGCACTTCCAGTACAATACTGAATAGTAGCAGTGAAAGTAGGCATCCTTGTCCTGATCCTGATCTTAAGGAAGAAAAATTTTAGTCTTTTACCACTGAGAATCATGTTAGCTGCAGATTTTTTATAAATACTCTTTATCATGTTGAGGAATTTTCCCTTTATTCCTAGCTTTCTGAGTTTTTTATTATTATCATGAAAGGGTTTTGGATTTTTTCAAATGCTTTTCTATGTCAGTTGAAATGATCGTATAGGTGTTTTTCCCTTTGTTCTATTAATGTGATATATCACACTGATTTTATGTTGAGCCACCCTGTATCCCTGGAACAAATCCCACTTGGTCATGGTAAACAATCCTTTTAATGTAGTATTGGATTTTATCTGCCCATATTATGTTGAGCATATTTGCATCTATATTAACAAGAGACATTGGTCTGTAATTTTCTTTTCTTGTGACATTTGTACTTGGCTTTGATATCCAACTGGTGCTGGCCTCATAGAATGAAGTCACTGCTTTATATTAAATATCTAAGTGATATGTGTTTAATCAGTTCTATTTTATTTGTGTTTGCTTTTTTAAATAGTCTTACCTCTATGTATGTTAAGAATATATAATATAACCTACAAAATTTATTTATTTATTTGTTGGACACAGGGTCTAGCTCTGTCACCCAGGATAGAGTGTAGTGGCATGATTGTGGCTCACTGCAGCCTCCGCCTCCCATACTCAAACCATCCTCCCATCTCAGACTCCTGAGTAGCTGGAACTACAGGTGTGCACCACCATTCCTAGCTAATTTTTTGTATTTCTGGTAAAGACAGGGTTTCACCATGTTGCCCAAGCTGGTCCTAAACCCCTGGGCTCAAGCGAACCTCCTGCCTCTGCCTCCCAAAGTGCTAGGATTACAGGCATGAGCCACTGTGCCTAGCCAAAAGTTTAAATATTCAATACTTTTTTTTTTTAAGAGACAAGTTCTCACTCTGTCGCCCAGGCTGGAGTATAATGGCATGGTCACAGCTCACTGCAGCCTCAGCCTCCTAAGCTGAAGCATTCCTCCCATCTCAGCCTCCCAAGTAGGTGGGCCTGGAGTAACTGAGACTGTAGGCTCACATCACTATGCCTGGCTAATTTTTTGGAGAGACAGGGTTTCGCCACATTGCCTAGGCTGGTCTCAAATTCCTGAGCTCAAGCTATCTGCCTACCTTGGCCTCCCAAAGTGCTGGGATTACAGACATGAGCAGCCACCACACCCAGCTTTTTGTTTTTAGACAGGGTCTCATTGTTTGGCCCAGGCTGGAGTGCAGTGATGCCATCATGACTCACTGCAGCCTCGACCTCCCAGGCTCAGGCCATCCTCCCACCTCAGCCTCCCAAGTAGCTGGGTGGTCTCCAAGGCTTATCCATTAGCTAATGCTTTCCCTTCAAGCCCCCCATTGGCTCCACTGCTCACCGATCCAGTCAGACTCTTTTTCCAACAAAGTTCAAATGTCAACAGTGCAGACACAGAAATACCTGGAAACTCCTTGCATTTGCGGACGGAAGGACATGCTCTCCCCATTCCCAGGCAGCTCCGTGAACACTATGGCCCGGCTAGGTACAGCTCACCGAACCCACCCAGGAATTTTATACATGGCAATAACTCTTCCGCTATCACCAATTCTGACGAATGTGATCGATATTGTAAGCTTGGCCACTTTTACCTTGGAAGCAGACAGGATCCATTTCTTGTTGTTGCTAATGGCAACATCCATCACCCAGTCATTATGGCCCTGAAGAAATATCAAATTTTAATGAAAACCTGGAGAAAATAATTTTGAAAGAACAACAAAAACAAGCTGGGTATGGTGGCTCACACCTGTAACCTGCCCTTTGGGAAGCCGAGGCGGGAGGGTCACCTGAGCCCAGGAGGTAGAAGCTTCAGTGAGCCATGATTGTACCACTGCACTTTAGCCTGGGCAACAGAGTGAGGTCCCATTCTAAAAAAACAACAAAGAGTCAAGAACCCAGGGTTGCTAACATTTCAGAGTAGCTGGCTGAGCGCAGTGGCTCATGACTGTAATCCCAGCACTCTGGGAGGTTGAGGTGGACAGATCGCTTGAGTCCAGGAGTTTGAGACCAGCCTGGACAACGTAGTGAAATCCCGTCTCTACTAAAAATACAAAATATTAACTGGGCATGGTGTGACATGCCCCTGTAATCCCAACTACTCAGGAGGCTAAAGTGGGAGAGTCACCTGAGCCCGGGGAGGTTGAGGCTGCAGTGAGTCATGATCACGCCACTGCACTCCAGCCTCGGCGACAGAGCGAGACTGTCTCAAAAAAAAAAAAAAAAAGAGCAGAGCAGCTCATTGTACTTCCTTGGTTTCATCAACAACATTTAGGGTGGAATACAAAGTGTAAAGATGTGGGATATATGTACATTCTATGTTTTTTTGCTGTTGTTTTTTGGGGGTTTTTTTGGTTTGTTTTTGAGACAGAGTTTTGCTCTTGTTGCCCAGGCTGGAGTGCAGTGGCGCAATCTCCACTCACTGCAACCTTCACCTCCTGGGTTCAAGCGATTCTCCAGCCTCAGCCTCCCAAGTAGCTGGGATTACAGGTGCCCATCACCATGCCCAGCTAATGTTTCTATTTTTAGTAGAGACGGGGTTTCACCATGTTGGCCAGGCTGGTCTCAAACTCCTGACCTCAAAGTGATCCTGCACCGCCTAATCCCACACAGTGCTAGGGGATTACAGGCATAGCACCACACGCCCTGCCCATTCTATATTTATTTATTTAGTTATTTTTATTTTGAGACAGGATTCACTCTGTCCCCAGGCTGGAGTGTAGCAGCTCAATCATAGCTCACCGCAGCCTCTACCTCCTGAGCTCAAGTGATTCTCCTGCCTCAGCCTCCCAAGTAGCCGGGACCACAAATCTGTGTGCCACTGTGTATGGTTTTTTAAAATAGTACTCGGGTGTTTAGCAGGATTGGGGGAGAAATATTATATTCCTAGCTGGTCTCAGGTTTTCGTTTGCATTCTTTGTTCTAGGGAATATCCCTCAGAGGCCCTGTAGGCGAGGGGCTTTTGGCCTCCAATAACTGCAAACTTGATCCACTGTGGCTTAAGCAGAGGAGGAGTCGGATGTTTTCTTTAGGTAAATAGGAGCTCAGAGCAGGCCGGGCGCGGTGCCTCATGACTGTCATCCCAGCACTTTGGGAGGCAGAAGCAGGCGGATCACGAGGTCAGGAGATCGAGACCATCCTGGCTAACACGGTGAAACCC